GAGAGACACCGTAGCAACTCCTTTGCGTTTGGAAGCGGGGGGTTGGGGTGGGGGGAGGACCAGGGAGGATGATTCAACCACTCAACCACTAGATGTCACTGAAAACAACAAATCCTACACACTGTGCCTTTAAGAAAATCAGAACAATACTGCAGAAAGTCCTTCAACTGACAAATGATGGCTAGATTTTTTCAAATGTTGTGTTTGAAAGTATTTTCTCTAGTAAAAATGTATGTAAAACTGATCAGGAGAACTTATTGTGCAAGCGTTTTTATAAAAATGACATTACATTACAGGTGTTTGAACGTGTGACTGGTTAAACACCTTACCAAAACTGGGGATTTGTGTGAAAGAATGTTGAACAAATTCTTGACTCCTCTATAAATATAGTGGCCCCACCCAGAAAAATCCTAGATCCACCACTGCTCTAAAGCAAGAGGAAATGGACCAGATCTGAGTTATGTGTGGTAAACCTTGCATGTCTGTAAAAATATTCAACTGAACCAATCTCCTAAACATAATTTGGTCCTTCACTTGAATATATTTCTAAAAATTGTATTTCTTTCAGTTTGTCTACTCTGGCATTCATCGGGGTCAGCAAAGTTAAGATTCTCATTGCCCAGGGAAACATGCTTCTAGTTGTGTACATGACAATAAACACTTTGAACCCTTGGACATGTTTGTAGGAGAACCTGCAGAAACAGAGGCACAGCCAAAAAATTAGAGGYACAGAATAAATTCAGTCCTCCCTGATTCCACTGCCTCGTGTCTCTTTTCCAGATGCTGAACGAGCATCACGTGATGGTTCGAGTTGGCGGAGGGTGGGAGACCTTCACAGGTTACCTGCAGAAACATGACCCCTGCAGAGGAGGAGGAGGAGGAGGGGTGACTCCCGGCAGATCTGGGGTCAGGTGTGGAGACAAAGTGAAGACCCCCGGCCTGAACATTCCTTCAGACAGTTACCTGGTGGTCGGAGTCCATCATCGTGGCAAGAAGTAGACTCTACAAAAATGTTTAAACTCTTACCTCAATTTTTTTGGAGAAAAACAACCGAGAATTTAATAGAACTGCTTAATTTTTTATATCCAGATTTTTRGTTGTTTCTTTAATATTATCACCAAATACAATTTAAAGTGTTTTATGTATTGCTGTATTATAAGGCCATTGTTAAATGACACATTCTGATTCGTCCTGTTGTTTTGCATTTATTRAAGATCTTTGTTTTTTGTCCTGCAGTTTGCATTGAATTTGTAAGTTTTTGTTTATACTGACAGCAGTAAGAAAAAWTAAAGATGTGTTGATCTGTTTGTTTAATGTACAATTAAGAATATCAACTTTTTTCCTTAAAATACGATATGTTCTAATATTTTTTGTTTGTTTTTGATTAAAATTTCTATAAATGTGGATTACTTCTCATCCCACAGGCGTTAAGTTCTCTTTCTCCTCTAGGTGGCACCATACCCTCAGTGACAAAAAAGACAGTTTTAACCTCTGCTGCTTCACTTCTGGTTTCACTTTCAGCTCCACAAACTACATCATCTTCAAAGGTTCAACATTTCAAAACATTCTGCCGCCTTATTGAACAGAAACGAGTTGTTCGTAACAACAGGAGTTGTTTTGCTGATTTACAGACAGGTTATAGGCACAAACAGGAAGGAGGGGAAAAAAGTCATCTTAATAATTACATGTTTTATTTCAGTTAAATAAAATAGTCAAAATTGGACACATTTTCCTCGTATGTTCAAAGAAACTAACCGGTGAGATCATGCAAGACTGTGATGTCTCTTTATTTTTAGGTCCACACAACATTTGAAGTAGATGCACCCAGTCAGTAGAAATGACTCGTAGAAAATAAAAGCTACCTAAACAGATGCCACTCGGAACGGCGGCACGTTGACTTTGCATTTCTCATTGCACGCAGCAAWGTAACACAAGAAGGGACCACTTTCTAATGATTTCACAACACGTTTGAATACATTGTTCACCTTGTGATGACCTYGTCTGCTCTCTACAAGCTCCGTGTTTTGTTAATGTCTCGCAAAAAGTTGCTACTGTGCTGCTGCAGACACAGCTGCGAGTTATCTGGTTTCTGAAATGTATCATTTGAGGTGTGTGTGTGTGGGGGGGGTCTGTGCTTCTAAATGTTTGTAATACTTCACGACAGCATATCAGTGCTGCAAAGGTCAGATTTTCCCACCAATGACACAAAAAAACCTAACAAGAGTTGTGCGTAGTTGTGCCTCAGCCATAACAACACATTATACTCGCACCAAATACTTATACAYAACAGTTTACTGCTTTCAGTAACACTCAGATTTAAGGGATAGTTCGGATCTTTTGAAGTGGAGTTCTTTGGGAAGGTCATGCACARTCATCTACAGCAGGTAAGATAATAATTGTTCATAACCTTTAGAGCTACACTTTAATGTGACTGCCACATCAAATGTTTGTAAAATGTATGAAAGCTTTTTTGGAAAAGATAACATTAATAGCATATTGCAAATAAATAAATAAATAAATTCACTGCTGAGATGAACAGTTCAAATATTTGAATGTGAAGTAACAGGAAGTGATGTCAAAGGGGATGTCTGCAAGTTGCTACAATGGCTAACAAAGACTGTAGAGAGGAATCTGATGTGTCTTTAGTTTTATTGAGTCACTATCAGAGAGATGAAGAAGAGTCATAGTTCAAAATAATATATCAATAATCAAAAACAATGGAGTTTTATTTTTAAAGAGTTCCCCTTTGATGTCACTTCCTGTTTCTCTTTGGCAGAGCTAACTTCAAACAAAAATATGCCAGCTATGTGACAAAATGGGTAAAACCGTTTATTTTGTGCCAATTTTCTTAAATTTAAAGATGTTTAGTTTGACTTTTTGTGTTTTAAAGATATGCACGTCACAGACACGTTAAAAGAACCAAACTATCCCTTTACCGTGAATGAGCTGAAGTGTGAACTTAAAACAGTAGAAAACTAAAATATCAAACAGCACTTTATTCTAAGCAATGACTATATATAAAAAAGTCTTCTCATATGTATGTCAGCATTTCTCATAAATAGAATTAGACCCTGAAGACACAACATGATGTGAAGCCAAACTCTTTTTTTTAAAGACACAACATGGTGCTCGACACACACTCTGATCACCTCCTGCAGAGTCACAGGATCTGACGATACAAACTTCAATCATGCCTCAKTTCATTTCCTCGTTAACGACGTTACAGAAAATGACAGAATATCACATACAGTGTTGTTAAACGCACTATAATACCTTATTTATTTAGTTTTTTCTACTATGAGAGTCATTAAAGCTGAGGGGATACATCAGGATTCCTCCTGTATAAACTTTAACACACATGGCTGTAATCTTCTTTTAACTAGAAACTTGTTTAATGTCACTACTGTAGAAAAACTGGGTCCTGTTCTCAGAGGGGTGAGGGGACGGGACGACAAAAATCATGTTAAAATATTTTCTATTGTTAGCAGGTTAATTAAATTTCTCTTTTCATTGTAACTTTAAATCCTCTTTCAGAATCTGTTCCAACAAATACACCAACAAAATGATTCGCAATTAAAACGAAATGACACCAATGGGGAAATGATTTTAAACATAAATAATTATTATTACTCCAATATTTTGTTTGTGAAAATGTCAATGTTTTATTTAGAAGTTGAATATTTGATAAAAAAAATTGTTGGCATCAAATATCACAACACATAAAACCTAAGTTATTAAAGTTATTTAGTTTAGCCCCCTGGTGACCTCAGAGTGATTTTATCTTTCAAGTTTCTGGATTAAAGTCATTGTAAGTCTGAAAAATATCAAATATATACATCAAGTTTTTAACACATAATGAAAAATTACAATTTGTGCTTTGCTGTTTGATTTTATTTATTTATGTTTTATTCTTTTTTTGGTTGTTTGTTTTTTGTCAAAATTGAACTGGACGTTTTTCTCTTTCTTAAATAAAATGACAAAATAAAGAAATATTTCTTGCACATTTTAAGAACTTGTACACTCTTGATATAAAATACTGTTTCAAGATCAAGACAGGATTGATCTCACTAATGACAGTTAAGAAGTCCGTATTTTATTTTATGATTTAATGACTTAACAATTCATTAAAAAAAAGATCAGCTTTTCTACTGAAAACATTGTTTTGATGAAGATTGTTATTTCTTCTATATTTTCTTTGTTGGTCATTTTTTATGCAATTCTGATATTTGATTTTACAGCTTTTAATAGTTCTTTCCTAAAAAAAAACTGCATTTTATTCAGAGTATTAAAAATACTGATACTAAAGGAGAATAAAAAAAAATACTGGCTTTGGAGTTTGCTTTAAAATATTACTGTCACGTTAAGATTTACCTGCCAGTAAAAACCTGGGTTTTTGCTGTTTTACTTTTGTTCGTTTTTCTTAAAAGGTAAAGTCTGAAACCAAACATAAAATGTTCTCCTGAATTTTACAAAATGGTTCGTTTTGAAAGAGTTTACTCCAGTAGTTTTCCAGATATATTTATACACAAAGTAATGTGGGTCTGCGCTAAACGTACACTAAGCACTCGGCTGAATACATGAACAACCTGTCACATGACTGATCTACAGGCTGCAGTAGGACAAATGAAACAACTCATAAAATAAGTTTTTCTTTTGGCTGCTTCCTTCCAGAAGCTGCAGCCTCAGACAGAGAAAATGGAAATAAGACTAACAATACGACAAATGTCAAAACCACTGATATGAGGACAATAATGTGGATCTTGTTTCTTATGTCATACTTCTTAAAATTAATCTTTTTTTTCTACACACAAAAAAGATATAATGGATTTAATTGAATTTWTTATGTGAACTGGTTCCACTCAACTGAATTGAGTAACGGTAACTCATTTACTTTAATGTGTTACCTTTTCTCATTTCAGTTAAGTGGAACCAGTTGTCACATTTTTTAATTTAAATCCACTGTCTGTTTTTTGAGTGTAGCTTATTTAGTAACTGGATTAAACTCATCATCTCTATTCTGTCAGCTGTTRTTTCCTCCAAGCAGACACTAAAAATATCTTTTTTTAATCAACTTCATTTAAACAAAAATCTGGCTAAACATTGCATGTGGAAATGTCAAATATTTGCTTATTAAGGCAAAATCACTTCTGTGTATTACCGTAGTTTTAATCGCTCTAACCAACTGCAGGATCCATCACCAGCTTATCTTTTTTTTTTACATCAGGTGTGTGTTTTACTACGTATAAGCAATGAAACATCACTATTAGCATTTTTTTTTACTTTAACCTACAAACAATTACACACATACAATCAAAAGAAATAGAAATTCTGACAGGATCTAAGCTAGTTTTTCTGTGTTTCTTTGTGTTCTCAAGATTTCCCCAGAAAAAAAAAAAATTGGCATGTGTGGAAAAAAGTTGATATGTGTGTTTTTGTTTCCTTCGCAGGAGTGTGAGTGGCTTCATGGATTTCAAGGAGCACCAGTTTAAGACGAATTCTCTTCAGAGAAAACAGTCACCTTTAGATCAAAACATAAAAAAAAGTCCTCTTAGATCATCAGTCAGTAGCTGCTGTACAAGTTCTTCGTTCTGTTCCCGGAGGTCCAGCYAGAGATTTCAAGATTTAACGTGAGAAGTTTGTAATTCTGCGTCTGTCACAACTCAGGCACACTGCACACGGACAGAGGATGGAGATGTCGAAGGTGACGTGACAATTAAAACGGTTTCAGAGTCAAACACCAAAGCTGGGAGGTGGGGTAAGAGGCGGGGCGGGMGGTGGCTCGTGCATCCCGTGCTTCCTTTCGTCACACGGTTCCGTTTTCCTGCCTCGGTTTGTGGGTCGTGGTGCGAGCGGGCGTGCTCAGGGACGGGGCCAGGGTGCAGAGGAAGCCCGCCAGCAGCGTGAGGCCGAGGCCCCCCCAGGCACAGAACATGGACCAGCCGTAGCCGTGGCTAATGTCTTCGGGGAGGCCGTACATGGAGCGCGGGAAACGGGACAGCTCGAAGTTGATCCCCGCCACGCACGTGCACAGCGAGATGATGCAACACGTCCCTGCGTGAAACCAGAGAGCAGCAGTGATTTAAACGGGATCAATCGTTAAAATTCCTACGTGGCCTGAACGCCTCGCTGCGAGATGAGCATCGTGTTACTGCGAGACATTGATCTGCTAGCTTGTGTTCCACCTAAATGTGCTCTCAGCTGTCACCAAGTAAACACAGTAACTGAATCAAAGTGTGGGTCTGGTCTGCATGTGAGAGGCGTGTGCACGTGTGCTTTCACAGTACCTCCCATGAGGAAGAGTAGCCCGGCTACATATTGCATGAGGTCATGCTGCTGGCAGCATCCCAGCACTCCGATGATCCAGCCGAAGAGGATGATGGACACGGCCATGCCGACGAAGCCGGCCGTCATTCTTCGTAGATCTGCAAGCCAGGAGGGAGAACGTCACAAGCTGCGACTCCGAACTGTCAAACCAGAAAACTCACATTCTGAGTGCGTGAAGGAGCAGCTCAAACAAAAGCTCACTTTGACCTTGATAAAGAAAGAATTTGAGGAATATTGATAAGATTAAGATGTCATTTAACGCTTTCATTACTTTGTGTTTCTTTCAGCGCCTCCCTTCCTCACTGGTTGCCACTAAATATTTCTGCTGAATGTCCCTCCTGATGCAAACAGGATCAGACTTTTTTATATAAATATGTTTATACATGGCCTGTTTTATGTTTAAAGATGCATCTATATGGATTATTGACTGATGCTTAGTTACCTCCGCCAAGGGCGAGGTAATGTTTTCGGTTGCGTATGTCTGTCTGTTTGTCGTTCTGTCTGTGGACGACATTACTCAAAAACTTGTGGATGGATTGTCATGACATTTTTACCACATGTGGCCAAGGAACACACCTTTAAACTTTGGTCATGTTCCAGATCACAATGCGGATACAGGATTTTTTTTTCTTTTAACCCTCTGAGATGGGCAAAGCTGTGATGCTTTCACAGGGCTTCTGTAAAAAACAGTGAGCTGGATTGGACAGCACGGACTTCAAACTTTATAAAAGTTATGTTAAAACCACATTTAATGATGAATAATTTTTGTCATAATATGCGCATTTACGCATATTTACGCATTTACAGAGCGTTTTGTGACCAGGAAGTGCGTGACTGCACTATGAAACTGATTTTTCCCATTTCCTCAAACACACCACATTTCCGAAACAACCAATCAAAACAGTTTGTCTCTACTAGGCTTGTAAACAGAGAGCTGCCGGGCCTCAAAGTTTGGAGACGGGGCAGTCAGGAAGCACTTTATAAAGAGAGTCAAACCATTACAAACTCATACAAGGGGATAAAACAGACGTTTTACATGGTGAAATGTGACTGATGAAAACTTAGGAGCTTAACCCCACACCAGTTTAACGATGAATAACGTCGGGTGACGAGTCTGACTTTTTTTTTCACATTGGACTCCATTGAGAAGAAATCCCGTGCATACTGCCTGCTTAAATGTTCAGTACGTCAGAACTTTTTCGGCAAATGTGTTTCCATCTCTGCTTTTGCGCATTAACTCTTACAGGATGGGAGAAATTGGTCTTGGCGGAGGTTTGCACTCTCCGAGTGCTTCTAGTTTCTTATGGTATAGCAAATTGTCATTTTGAGAAAAGGGGCAGATAAAACAAGATTTTTTTTCTTTCACCTGCTCCTTTTCATTCAAAACTTGTGTTTATAACAACGTGTGATATGTTCATTTTAAACTGTAAATGAATGAAAATAAATAAAAACTTTAATGAACACTAGTCTTGCAGTACGACAGAGTATTAGTTCCACACAAAATATTAGTTTTTTTATTACAAGTCATAATATTATGAGATTAAAGTTGTAATATTATAAGAAAAGTCTTAATGACGTCTATTTTCTGTTCCTGATTTTTCTCATTTCCTCCTCATTTTCATCACACCTGCTGTGGACGGCCATGTGTGTCTCTGTGTTTATAAAGTAGCCCACAATGACTTTTGGGTCACCTTTGATGTAAAATGCTTTCATCCAAATTATGTGTTAATTATGGCTTCAGTTTATCATAAAGTCATTTTCACAATTGTTTCAAAGTCCTGCTGCTGATAATTTGATGCTAATGTGCTGAAAGTTGAAGTATTTCTTTAAACCGATACTAAAGAACAGTGGTGGGCACAGTTCACCTAAAGCACTAAKAGGGGAACTAATTTCCTGATTAGTGCTTTAGGGCTTTTGCTAATTTAAAAATTTCTAAGTGGATTAGAACTAGCTAAATTTATWGGCTAAATTTAGAAGCACTAACTGAGGTCTATAAATTATTGATCAACATTAATATGTGTGTCARTATGTGTGTCACTGATCCACCCGGTGACAATATGAACCCAAATACAGCTGTGCAATGTCAATGATAAGTCTTCAGAGAGMAACATGTGACTCATGTTGTCTGTTGAAGAATGTTCATAGGTTGACTGGGTTATTTTAGTGCTAAAAGGCTCCACAAACTCAGGCACACTTCACTCCGCTCGGACTCAATGTGGACACGAAGTGGCCGTCCGCCAGACGTATTTTACATTGTATTTTTTACATTCGCAGTGTCGCACAACAAACTGCCTGGCGAGTACTGTTTTGGATGAGACACCATGCTGATAACGTTGAGAATCTGTCATTTGTGGACTGAATGGAGTCAAATTTTGAAGAGCGTCACATGGAGGAGATTAGAAAACTTTATATAAAGACTTTCAACGAGCAACAAATTTGTGGGAGGAAATAGCTCAGATCCTGGGTAAGGTAGTTCTTTTCTTTTTTTTCTTTTGTTGTTTTAAAGCTAATATGCAAACTGTTTCTTCCTCCTCATCCTTGACATCATGACTGAAATTGTGAGAAAATAAGGAATTTGTCAGGTGGTCAGTACGCTCGAGTATGAAGTCTCAAACATCTGTGGACCGTGTGCGCGGAGTCCGCGTGGCTCATGGACCACACACAGAACACCCGAGTCTGTGGGAACCTTTACAATTTGCTTTTGTTAGAATTTTTGGTGAGTTAGTGCTTTAGAGTTAGGGGACTTCAATATTTGAGTTAGTGTTTTAGGGCTAGTGGAGCTAATTTTTAGATTAGTGCTGCCCACCACTGCTAAAGAACAACCTCACAAGTTGCTCAACATTCCTCACTTTAACACAGTGGTTAGATTGTTTTTTTCGTGTAAAGGTTCTTGTAATGTTACGACTTTATTCTCGTATTGTTTTGACTTTAATTCCACAACATTATGACATTATTCTCGCACAATATTTTTCTCGTAAACTTTACTCTCATAATATTATGAGTTTTTTTCATACAACTTTATTTTCGTAATGTTATGAGTTTAATGTCGTAATATTATTACTTGTTATAAAAAAGGGGTTAGGGTTAGAGTTAATCGTGTTGTGTGGCCCTAATACTCGAACCCAAATGAATTCATTAATTTAATAAATGTAATTTGATCAAACAAATTTGGTTTGAAGGCATCCAAGTTAAAATATGAGCTAATGTTATTGCTTTTTTTCCTGGGTTTTAAGTTCTTGTTTGTTTCCTTTGACAGATTTAATGCTTGTGTTTGTTTGGTTCTGGTGGATCCTGTTTACATGAGAAAGATGTCTGATAACTTTAGGTTTTTTTATATTTACAGTTTATTATTCAACAACAACAAAAAAAAAATCAATGCATTGTGTCATTTAAACTGTGATTTAGGATCATTTTATGTTTGGTTCTTGCTCTTGTTTCATATTCTGTGTTACTGAATTACACTAATGTGTCCCAATTTGTTTCGGTTAGTTTTCCATTTTAATCTCCCCTCACAGCTGCTCCTAATTTACTTATCAGACCACCTGCGATGTGTCGGTTGTTATTATCTGTCTGGGTAAATATTACCGGCTTTTCTATTCTCTATCAGAATCTTTCAGGGTTTTTTTCTTTAGTCTTTCGACAGTGGGCGACAACGTTTGTGTCTGCATTCATGTGTCTGTTAGCAAAATATCCTTTGAACTCTTGGGTGGATTTGAAAGGAGACATATGACGCTTTTAAATTGTTCTGTTTCCCAATTAAATCTTTCAGTTGGGGTCTTTATAAAGGGAAACTGGGTCGGAATCCCTCCTTACTGTAACTCCACAAGACCYGCCCCATTTTTGGGGTGTGTCTCACAGATCGAYTCGTTTTGAGGCTGTCTTTTTAAATACAAACGAGGTGCCTCACACCCCGCCCCCATCCTGCTTCCAGAGTGGTCCATTCTAGTTTGATAGAGAGGATTACGACTATATAGCTGTGCAGGAACTTTTCATTTACAAATAAACTAAAAGATGTCAACAAGGGAAGACTTGTCCATCCAGCCTGACATGTTGGAGCCAGAGTCTGACCCAGAACCAGAACCAGAGGAGAATGAAGACCACCAAACTGTAGTTGGGAAGTCCAGACCTTATTCAGAAGTTCTGTTGCAAATAATTTGATGTAATAGTTCAGAAAATGACCCAGACGATAGAGAAAACTGAACAAGTTGAAAAATATAACCCAAACAGAATATAAAGATATTCTTGTAGCACCAGAAGAAACTCAATTTAAATTTTCATCTATGACACATTCAGAGCTGGAACAGATTGCACCTGAACTTCATTTAAAACATCTTTGTTGGAGTCAACATTATCACAATAGTTCATGTAGCAAAATGTCCGACGAGTCAGTTGAAATGTTTAACAAAACTTTCAGGAAATCATCTTTTGATTTTGATGAACATCTGATTAAATTCAATCCAATTAAAAACTGTAGCTAATTAGTATTTTAGCAAAAACCTACATGACTCCGTTTTACAGATACTCAGCTACAGATTGTGTGAGATCTCACAACATCATGTAAGAGCTTGCATATTTCTAGTTTTAAGATTTGCTCAAACTGAAATAAACATTTCTTCAAACATCTTGTTATAAAAAATGTGACCTTCAATAAAAACAATCCAGTAACAGTAAGAGAATCGTGTTTTTAAAGCGCCTGTTTCACACAATCAGTAAACAAAACCTCATTTAATGAAAAAACAAGCAAAACTGGAACTAAATGTTTCTAGTTTTTTTATTTATTTTAATTTTCTTAAGTTGTTTTCTAGATAAAGCAGTAAAAGATAAAGACAATAAATATTTAAAAGGCTGTATTTCAGTATACAATCCCACAAACCCTGTCAGACTTACGGAGTGCGTGCCACTCGTCCTGACGAATGGTCTTTGTGATGTTGACGGGTAAATTTCGTGGCAGGATGGATGAGGAATAGTGATACTTGACCGGGGTACACCTTTGAATTATTCCTAAAGAAGAAGAAAACGATAAAGACTAAAGTTAGAACTAAAGGACGAAAAGTTTTTTTTTTTTTAAATGTGGCAAAAAAAAAACTGAAGCTTTTATTTTCTTCTGGGACCATGGGATGATGACTTAAACTCCTTTTTTTGTGTGTTCCAACTTCATAAGTTTTGTTTTTCCAAGCTGGTAAACGTGTTTATTTCACTCCAACGCAGTAATTAAATGAGGATTAACAAAKAATTAATGCTCCGGTCTGAAGTGAATACTTTCATATTTTTAACACATTTTGTTTTTTTAAAACTTTACTTATTTTCCGTGCCAAACAACACTTAATTAAATTAAAGTAGAGGCGGAGTCCTTTTTGTTAGCACTTTACAGTTATTGATATATTTTCAAAAAGCCATTAAAATGTTTTAAACTATCAAGAAAATCCTCACAATGTTGATCAAAGTTTCAATCTTCTTTACAGTTTTTGGTAAGTGTAAAATGTTTCTAAAGGACACTTTTTCTTATTCTATTTCAAAACAGACTTTGATGTAAAACTGTATCATATATCTTACCTGTTGTAGAATAATTGTTGGTACATAGCTATTCATTGCTTTAGAAGAAGATATATTTGGATCTGCCTGGCTCTGCTCAGGATGGTTCAAATGGTAGTTAAGATTATCTGAAGTGGGGTTCTGTGGAAATGTTATAAACAATCAATATCTTACCTGTTGTAGAATAATTGTTGGTACATAGCTATTCAAGCAGAAAGTCTCAGTTTGCTCTGGAAATCCAACGTTTAGCTACTATTTAAGCTTTAATTCAAAATAATGCAAAACTGACAACACTGTCAACAACATTCACATGAAGCTATTTGATATTTTTGAAAGTGGATGGCAGAAATCCACTTTGGTTTTGGCCCTACTTGAACAGATCTGTCAGGATTTAATCCAGAGTGAGGTCGATAAAAGAGCCATCCACAACAGGTAAGATTCTATTGTTTGTCATCTATCCACAGAACCTCAACTTCAAAAGATCTGAATAGAGAATACACATTGTGTTTGATATCATCGCTACACTCCAGTTACTGGAGCTGTTATAAGGTCAAACAAATTCAGACTGTTGATAAGAGTTTGTTTAGAACACTTCTGTTCATCATTGCAAACATTCAACCTGAGCAGAGGCCAAAATGAAATCATTTAAGAGTTGATTTTTCAGAACAACTTTCAACCTCCAACAAACAGCGCAGAAGCTCCTTGAAATGTAAACTATTTCGGGATTTCTCATGGCGGTAGCCGTAAAGGTCTTTAAAGCATCAATAAAATTAGCCGTTTTAAATCTAAACATTTGCCTAAAAATCAACAGTAGTTCACCCAGTAAACTTGTAAAGATTGCACAGCTACTATAAGTAAACTGTTGGAGACTAGTTGGTGATTTCAATTTGCAAGAAAACTGCCCCCCAAAAATGGCTAATGTTCTAGTTTTTAATTACTGTTTGTGTGCATTTCTAACAGAACTGTAGGCCGTGCACATGTTTAAGATTTAATCTACACTTTAGAATTAAAGATAGGTATTTGGAGCAGTTTTTTTAAATCATTCTTATTGAACATCGGCGTGGTTTTCAGAGCTGGATGTTTGGCGCTGCAGCCTCAGATGTTTTCTGTTATTGGAAAAGCTCGCATGCTGTCAAAAAATACTAGAAATACAGAAACTGAGAAGTGTTTGAGATGTTCATACTTATTATTAGAGAAAATTGTCACGTTTTTCAAGCACGTTTTAAATTCAAAAGGCAAAGAATATGATTTATAGAGGCTTAAGCAGCACACTTAGGATAAAATAAAGGGGAAAAAATGTCACAGGATCGAGAGAAGGCAAATGAATATATCACTCTGAACGACTGTTTTCATCACCTTTTGGAGGTATAGTGGTAACCAACACAGCGGTCCTTGTTTTTCCTTGTTGATCATTAAAATAAATAAATTGAAGAAGAACATGAACACAAGTTTTCTTCTGAGGTACATGTGATGGCAATGTTTTTCTATAAATTTAATGCACTTATCTGCAAGAAAAAAGCAAAATAATACAAGTTTCACACTGAAACTCAGTATTTTACCAAAATTTAAGATGTTCATTATGAAATCATGAAGAAAGCAGAGAATCATGAAGTAAGATTTTAAATCAGCACTATGGTTTCTCATGTTGATGGTTAATTAAACATTGTAAGAAAAATACAGTGCTTATAAAAACAGGTTAAACTTAGAGGCAGTTAGTTTCCTGTGTGATATTTGAATTTATTCTTCACTAATGGATTTATTTAGAACAGACAGATGGGTTTTAAATGATCATGACACTTAACTGAGAGAAAATATCAATAATGAGTCCATTGAGCTGTTCTGAGGTCAGTTGATGAGTGAGGGTTCCCCTATGAACACATTAAAACCCAACAATAACGATGATCAGAAAGCTTAGCATCTTAATCTGAGGCCTGATGAGACAAACATCAGCTCCATACCAGAAGGTTTTAGTTTCTCTGAGATTATTCTCTCTCAGTACCATGGACAGCAGCTTTCACTAATCAGGACATAAGCTCAAGGTAAACAATAAGATGTAAGGAAGGTGAGAGGATGCTGCGCTCCTCGGCCTGCAGCATCAGGCTCCATGTTTACCTTTGTAGATCAGGTCCTCGGTCTCCAGGTCGAAGCCCTCCCGGTGACACTTCCTCCAGAGCCCGGAGATGGTGGAGTTAAACTGCCGGCTGCAGTGGGACTCCATGGCGGACGCTGCGGCCACGAAGTGCCGCTTCTCCCGGATGAGAGGAGTGGCGCGCGGGCCGCTGCCTCCCCGCTCCGGGCTCCCCCTCAGAGGCATCTGGAGCGGGAGGTTGTGGCTCGGGATGTAGATGTAGCCGGGGTCGTTCCGCTTGTTGGCGTAGTTCTTACACCGCTCCCGGTGCCTCCTGGCGTCGGTCTCGTACCAGTAGTCGGTGCAGATCGCCATGGCGAGCAGCCCGAGCGCGCAGAGAGCCAAGAAGAGCCCTGCGCTCGTCAGGATTTTCATAGCGGCCATCTTCCCCGCTCGCTCGACGGAGAGCCCCGAAACAAGAAGGTTCCTCCGTGGCCGTGGAGGCGCTGGCACCGCGCGAGGATAATCCACGACGGCACCTCAGAGCCTCCCGCGGTCCTGCGCCCGGAGCATGACGCTGCGAAGCCGGCGCGCTGAGGACTGGACGCTGCGGTCTTTTGTTGTGGTGCCCGCTGGATGTGATGTTGTTCCCACCATCTGCTCTGGTACAGGAGGAGCAGGAGAGGAGAGGAGGAGAGGGGATGGATGAGGAGGAGGCAGGGCTGAGGGCAGGGATGTGGTGGCGCTGTCGGGATGGGGAGCAGCAGACAGGCTGTTTAGGTGGGGGGAAGGTGGGGGTCATTTGGTTTGCATCTATTATGCAACTAAACTCACAGCCCTCAAACTTTATTTAGTGTTGAAATAGCTCAAGATGTAAAGCACCACGTATAAGTTTTCTATGAATTATAGATACTGAAAGAGATGCATTAAGATTAAATCTGATTTAAATCAGAATCAGGATACTTTAATGATCCCTGGGGGGTGGGGGTG